TTACATGTGCTTTTTAAGTTTTCACACATGTGCTGAATTGTTGTCTTTTAAGAAAAATGTTGAAGTTTAAATCGAGCGAACACTCATGTGCATGTGTTTATATGTAAATCACTTATGTATATCCGTTTATTATGATGTTTGTACTGGCCAGTCGACGACGAAATCGTTAAATTCCAGCAAAAAACAAAGACAAGATAACTTCCAAATTATCGAATAATTTATTTACAAAACAATAATTAATTAATTAATCAAGAATCAACGTTAATGATAAAATGAATTAAAGCCATTAGTTTAAAATTGATTGAAATTCTAAAATGTGAATTAACAAAAAAGTTGCCTGACGTCATTCAAAATGGCCTCCAAACGCATTTGTCCAGTTTCATATTTTGTCCAGCTTGCAGTTTCCTATCAGCATCATCAACATCATCATCATCGTCGTCGTTAACTTCAACACCAACATCGGCCTCCTCATCATCATCATTATCATATTTGAGTGACGTAACCATGGGGTATGGATAGATGGGCGACATTTGACTGGGTGATGATAATGATGTTAATGTTTTTAGTAATGATGACGATGATGACGTTTGTAATGATAATGATGTCTGTGGCGATGATAATGATCCTTGTATGTTGGTAAACGGAGTTGAATGAATGAATTTTTGTGCAAGTGATGATGTTGATGGAGAAACTGAAGAAACATCAGGTGATGCAGATGATGACGACGACGATGACGACGACAATGATGATGATATGTAAGCTAAAGGCGAACAGGAAGCTAAATAATGAATGTAGTTGTCTTGCTGTTGTTGATGTTGGAAGGTTTGTTGGTGGCGTTGTTGGACGAATTGATTATGGCGATGTTGTCGTTGTGGTTGTTGTTGTGATGGGACGTTGTAAGGATGCGTGGAAGCTCTGGCCGATCTCATGTGTGAAGGTGTTGATGTCTTGTTTCTGCTGCTGTTGTGGTTGTTTTGTTCGTTGACGTTAATGTTGTTGTTGTTGTTATGTGTGATGTTGTTGTGTAATGGAAAGTTCCCGGTCGTCATCGCTGTGTGGTTAGTTGTTGTTGTTGGGATGTGTTCGTTAGAGTTATTGTGGTTGGGTTGCGATAAATAAGGAACTGCTGCAACATTATTGTTGATGTTCGTGTGAGCATCGTTGCAATTTGTGGTTTCCATTTGTTCTTTAGACCCGTTGAGTGATTGAAGAACAGAGTCCATGTTTCGAAGAAGGAATGCAACTAGTTCATTCATCTTTGAAGCATCCTTAGGGACACCGTCAGTTTGTTGAGTTGGATGGTGGTGTTGTTCCATGTAAGCAATCACTTGTTGCAGGCAGGCTTTGTAACCTCTGCTCATCTCCTCCTGCAACATTTTCTTCAGATTTCTCACGTGATCTACCGTCAGTTCCAAGATGTCTGCCTTCTCAAGGTGACTTCCGTTTGAAAAAGATGATGATGATGATCGTGTTGAGAGAGCATTTGATTGGATGAGGATGTCCTCAAGTTGATGGAGGCACCTATCCATCCTCTCCCTCCTCACCCTCTCCACCACCACTTTCCTCATCTTCCTTTTTTCATTCTTCAATCTTGTTGGACTGCTCTCCATGTAACCACTGTCGGGTGTGTTGTTGTGGCTGGTGGTGGTGTTGTTGTTGGTGGTGGTGTTGTTCATGTTCTCAATGTTTATTCTTGGTTTCATTCTTATTGTGAATTGAAAAAATATTTTTCACCAATATTTACTTTTGCCCAACAAATGTTCTTCAAACGATGTTTCTTTTTCTTTTTACTTGTTTATATAAAGTTATAGTCTTTCTATAAAGATGAATTCAATTGAAGCCACAATTTCTCTCTACAAATAGCTGTTTTTAATTCACTGTATTTACCAAATTTTATTTCTATACGCCCCGAGTATTTCAGTTGTTCAGTTAAGTAGTGACCTGAGCAAGAGCTCAAAAAGTTGAAATGTATGACAGACAACAACTGACCTCTCTATATATACCTTCCTTCTGAGCCCTGAAGTTTATTGTTGTCATATGTGCGTATGGGAGAGGGAGGGATATTGAGAGGAATGAGTTATTATTGGCCAATTATGATTTAATAACCTTTGTTGACTCGCGTGAACATCAGTTAAGGTGTTATAACTTTGATATAGTAACAAAGTGACCAACAATAAAATCAACGTTATGATGAAATTCATA